TTTTTTTTTTTTTTTTTCATTAGAGATTCTTATTTGAAACATCTCTTTACAAATCATATTCCTCTTCTCTAGAAGGAAATGATTTTTGAGTAGTATCTATTTATGCATGTATAAACCAATATGTAAGATTGTGTGCCGGAACTTTAAACGCGATCGAGGTCAATCATTGCGTTAAAGTAAATAATGAAATGTAGTGAGATAAGAGAAGCGCTACTATGACAAGTTTTCTTACCTACAGTGCTTTATCGAAGTAACTTCAAATTGCTCGATGAAAGAGGATTACTTGTGTGTCGCTGATAAAGAAACGTCGCATTTACCACGTAAAGATGGTTTTCTAGATGTTAATGTAAATCACGATAATTGTAGTACGTATTGTACCACGGAATGAACAAATTATTTTCGGGAAATTTGAATTGACTAAAATTTTATGTTGGTTGATTAGTAGTTAATATATGTACAGTACCCACATTTGACCATAGGCTAAAAAGAAAAAGACCCCTTTTCAGAACAGTTTGACGTTACCATAACATTTTTTCCAACCTTCCAATCTCACCCTCTCTCCGTTTCCATTTTGCCTTTACTAGAAACTTCCTCAGTTATTCACTACGTTCGATACTTCTAAAATAAAAGTTATTGATTTAGAGATATTATTGAACATTATGTTCACATTTCTTCTTCGTTTTTGCTGTCAGGAACAATTAACGTTCTAAAAATAACTTAATAAAGTATTCGTCTTTCGTTCTTTTTTTTTATTTTTTTGTATTTTCTTATTTTTTTTTTTTTTTATACGAGAGCAACAATGATGATTCTGTCAAGTTATCGAAGAAATGATTATCCGTGAATTATATTTTATACATATGCAGTTCATAAACTTGTGTATGTATGCTGGTATTCGAGGTTATAGAGAAATAGATGAGTCACACACATATATATGTAAGTGCATACTTCTTAAAGGAAAATCAAGTATATTTACAGTTTTCTTCAACGTTGATAGGTATCTTCGATTAAAATGTTGTTTTGTAATCGCGCGCAAACTAGGAACGATAATTCAACGTTAGAAGGATTCACGATTATCATCATCATTTGCTTCTTCTTGACGGTAGATTTCTGCGAATACTTCCAAGAGACGATCGTCGATCTAAGAAAATTTATATTCTTTCACTTTTCAAATAACATTAATTTACGAAATCAATACTCGTACACCGTGAAGAACAAATACATGTGTCGTAGATTGTAACATTCGAGGAAAACCATAATACCGTTCATTTACTGTAACTATATTACACCATATGTCGACATTGCTCGTGCACTGTTTTTCTACATTTATTTACATGTTTCTTCTTACATATTTGTATGTCAATAGGTCGCGGTTTTAATAACGGTCGGTTGTCTATAATTAGCTTCTATCTTGGTATCTTTTATGCAGTTGCATCTTATCATTTTAATACCGGAACACTTCTGATATAAATATCGATATAAAAAGATAATATAAAAATGTATACATATGTGTATATATGTATGTTACTGTTACTTTTTGAAATTTGTTAATTCGTGAAATGATCAGCTTAACCTTCAAATAATTATACTGACCTATTTTAATGTGAAAGAAAGCAGAATTACATACTACAATTAACAATAAGTAAGATATGAATTTTAAAAGATGAATAGTAAAGGTATGAGATTGAAATTTGATTCCAAGTATAAGAAAAATATTTTTTAATTTCATTTCAATATTTATCTATAATACTGCATTGTTGTAAATCTAGAGACAAAAAATATGTATTTCTTCGTTCTCATGCGAAGGTTATCTAATCTCGAGATAAAGTTTCTCTATTGATTTAATGGATAAAATTAAATTTCTTTCGAAAACTATAAAAACGAAAATAAAATAAACGCGAATAATGAATTCTCCTAAATTCTTTTTTTTCTCTTTTTGTCCTTTGAAAATTGGCTTTTTTCTTAATCATGTTGTTCTATTGACTTAACTACTCGCCTCTTGTAAATTCATATATAATCATTTTTATTTCCTAAAACTATTAGTTTTACAATTAGTGTATAATAAAATTCTGTTTATATGCTTCCCCAAAATGCCTTAGTTATTTTGGTTACGTAGTCAAGATTTCTACGATTTAACTTAAATGTAACAATATATAACGCTTACATATATACACCACACCACCATATATATCGTAATCGATATAAAACAAAAAGAGGCGATCTTTACATTGTTATTTATTTATTCAAGTTTCTTCGAAAAAATCGTAGGAGTGTGGACGTGGCTTTTTTTTCGAGATAACAAAAAGAGCCGATGACTGTGAGATTTTTCTGAAGAAGAATAAGCGCGATAGCGCCGGTGACGGCGACCTCGTGTAGGTAGACTTCACGTGCACGTACATAAGAGACAGAGAGAGGGAGTAAAAGAGTAAAAGAGTAAGAGCGTAAGAGATAGAGAAAGAAAAGAGAATATGCGATGAAAGGAAAGAAAGAAAGAGAGAAATAGAGACAGAGAGTACTCTTCGGAGACAACGCACGTGTGTTGCGGCTCTTACGCGCGCACGTGACCTAGGCACGTACGTGTCGCCTTGTAACTTGATTACTTTACCGTCTTTGCCTCTTGGAAGGTGCCACTTCGGCTGCTTGGAAGTTTGATTTCACAGTGTTCGTGTATATATACGGGGGTAACTTAGTATTCGGTAGGTCGTAGACGCGTTTCGATCTCATTCCTTCGCGTGAGAAAAAAAAACGGAGGGGGGGGGCCAAACCTGTCCCTTCTCTCAAACAGGGGAAACTTTTTCGCCATAGCAGCAGCTCGCGAATAACGAAAATTCGTTGCTGCCTTAAATCTTAAATGATACATTTAAAATAGTTTCACACACAAGTATGTTAACTATATATATATACTTTCTTACTTTACCTTTTGGGTAGAAAATATTTGTGTCCCGTAGACGCGAGACGAGTTTGTGAGTTTATTCTATTTTATTTATTTTATTCATCTTATCGAGGATATATTTCTTTTGAAAATACGTGCAAAACGACGAGAAATTGGAATCCCAAGTGACGACTATCATCGTTAAAAGGATTCTTTTACTTTTAAGGACTTCCTCTTCTTGCTCCAACTCTAGACGACCTTGATAAATTTCTATGTTTCTGTAATGGTTCAATCTTGTGAAGCTTACGGCGGGATATCGCGCGATCTTGGAAAAATGAACAATTTATTTTCATCGAAGAAAAGATGTTCTCTCTTTTTCTTTGCCATTTAGAATCTAAATCAGTATAGACGGAACTCTCTAGATGTTATAATAGAAGAGAGGAGAGACATTAGAAGGGTCTCGAAATGTATACGCGTTTCGTCCTCGTTACGTCGGCTCTCTTAATAGGTCGTGAAGAAGCTCGACGATACCGTGCGACCGGACACACTGCAAATTTGATCTTGGCGCAGTCGGATCTCTACGTAATTGGTAATTGCTTGAATCACGACTTCTAAATCGCTACTTTTGACGCTCTACCGCCGCCTCAGGACATAGCTCGATGTTTGACGTTTAAAAGGCGAAGATAGCTTTTCTCCATGTTGCTTATAAATCTTCGACAAGATGGCGAAACAAGATCGTCAAAACTATTCCGATAATTTCCATTCAATAAATAGCTAAATTTGTCGAATTGTTTAATTGGTAATTAATACGAACTTTCATGCAATTTCTTATCGATTAAAACGAAAAATTCTTGTTTATTTTTATCGTTCTAAAACTCGCTTTGCTTTTTTTTTTTCTTTTTTTTTTCCAATATCTTTCCGAATCTTCTGCGCAGATCGAGATGACCTCTGTTTCTCCTCTCCGTTCGTTGTCCTCGCTGATTAACCGGCTCCGATATTCCTTTTATTCTCCTTTTATTTCGCGCCAGTGGGCCGACCGAAAAAGGTAGATGCGAAAAGACCGAAAGAGCGGCATGGTATGCATATATATAGATACATACACACAGACACGTACGCACACATGAGAGCATCTCTTACATAAGTATTGCAAAGTTATATGTAATCATTCGGAGTGAATTGAAACGAGGT